CACCGTTTACTTGTCCTAATGGAATCATCACTGTTGATCAGTTTTGTAGACTTATATATGATGGAAATACGGCTTTAGGCCAGATAAACGAGCTACTAACTTACCACGACTTTGTATGACTTTGTACTTTGTTCATCCGACTAGCCCCTAAGGAGTAAGGAACGGATCATTATTTTTTAAAATATATAAGGGGTGATAAAGGCAAATTTCTGGGGCATGAATTTTTTTTTTTTTTCCCACCTTCAGATTTTATTCTCGATTATCAGCCGCTGTTCGGGAAAGGAGCCCGCGATCCTCTCCTGTGGAGGGAAGTAGACCAGACGCGAGAGAGCGGCGGAAATTGAGCCTACTTTAGGTTGTGCATGATTTTTCTGGTGGGCAAAAGCTTGTGCAAGAGCCTTTTTAACATCAGAAACGAGCCAATCAGGGAGGCTTACAATTGCAGTTTTGATTCCATTTGATTACCTTGAGAATCCCTTGAGAATGTCACTTTCAAGGGTTTCTGTCAATCAAATTGTTCACCGATATGAACAATCTCGCGCCCATAACTTTACCGGCTCCGCGGTCTGCGTAGCCGGAGAAACTCTGGGCTTGATTAAAAGTAAAACGGAAGTCAAAAAACACGTGGTACCATGTGCATTTTAATAACCCATCTTAATATCCATAATTTTGCGAAGTAATTGCTTTTAAACTAAATATAAACGAGCTATATACGGTTGAAAACTGTTAGGATTCGTAAAACCCGCTCTTAAGCTGTGTCAGTGAATAACAACGAAGCTCTTTGTTTTTGCCAGAAGCAAGGTGATATGCTTCTGTTTTTGCTCAGTGTTTCGCTGGAGGGCAGAATCAATTAGTTTACTTAAGAGCAGTATTCAAATTAGAGGTGCATACAGTTGATGATTTGCATTTGAAAAGGTTGCGTGGCCGGAGGGAAGTCACTTGGTTAACTATCGTGTCTGGCTGCAGAACCCAGCGCTTGGAAACCGAGTGGAAAGATTTGAAAGCTGCTTTTCACCGATATCTTTGTTAATCAGACCAGAGCAAGGTTATTGTGACCGCTTCAGAATTGCCTAAACCCACAGCCGTAGCGGCAAAAGACTAAGCTGAACGAAGTTGGCTGGAGAAGTCATCGGGACGTGACGACCGTGTTCTTAACCTTGTCGAGATCTTCTGTGATTTTTTTCAACGCAATAACACTTCAACGAAAGTCTTCCAAGCCTTTTCCAGCGCTGCACAGAATAGATATTCAAGTCGCTCAGTCGAAGCCTTATCATGCACACGGTTAAGAAATACGCTTTCTATGTACAGTTACTTGGCTTCGCCCTTTTTGTCAAGTCTTCGCATGAAAACACAGCGAAAACTCCCGCCATCTTCGCCTGCAAAGTTAATCTAAGCGACAACTTCGTCGTCGAATGGAGTGTTAATGAAACGGCGAAAAGCGTTGAATTCAAAGTGAATGTTACCATCGACGAGAAAGGTTGGGTTTTACTTGGATTCATGCCTATTCCAAAGAATAAATCTTCCGACAAGAATTATCAGATGAAATTAAGCGACACCCGTGGAGATTTTTTGATAACTTGGCCATCTTCCTCGTCAGAAAGGACGTCTTTGGTAAGAGACTTTCTCACTTGTGTTGAAGTACATGTTTGAAATATTGGATCTTATCAGCATACTTATGTTTATAACAATTATGATATTTGGAAGGGTTTCGGCATCGTATTTATTTTCCAAGCAGGCAAAAGCACAATGGATAAGTCCATGTTGATTTTTGGCCCTCTTGGAAAACACGTGCAAAAAACCC